AGTGGGAAGGAAAAACTCCCTTTTAACAGGAAGAAACCTCCGGCAGAACCAGGCTCAGGGAGGGGCGGCCATCTGCTGTGACCGGTTGGGGTGAGAGAAGCAATGGCAATGTATTAACAGACACCAGAATGTTGACCAGTAAACTGCCATTCCTGGGTTTATAGATGTGGTCACATTAATGCTGATCAGTTAATCAAATCCATTTGATTATCAGCACCAAGCTGGGTTCATACTGTTTTGCTATTAGGCAACAGTGCTAACCACAACATCACCATGCTGGCCAGAGACAATAACTAAGGTTCAAAATGTGAAAGAAAATATATCAAGCTGAAAATGTAAAATACATGAAATACATGGAAAATAAAACTAAGAACCAAACAGAGAATACTAAAAACTGAATTAAAAAGTTAGAAAATTCAAAACTCTGGGTGGAAGACCCAGAGCCATGACAATAATCTAAGAAAATCTATTAACCAAGTGTGAATGAGACAGTCAGTGTTAAAAAATGAAATTGTGAAAGAAAGGAAGAAGAGAAAAGGAAGGTCATCATGTTTTAGACTGAAAGAGAATGGTGGGAGGAGTGAGATAAATTAGCTGTATGAGAAGAGTTTCTAATTACAGAGCTGCAGGTGTCTGATGATGGAGATACCGAAAGGAGTCGAGCTCTGTTTCCCACAACTCCTCAACAGCTCCTGCAGGAAGCCGACACTTCACTGGTCCAAAGCTGTGCTCCTGAACATTGTGCTCTCATGTATCTCTCTGCTCACTGCTGCTCTAAACCTTCTCGTCATCATCTCAGTCTCCCACTTCAGGCAGAGATTAACTTTTCAACTGAAATTACAGTTTAAGTTTTAGATGTGTGAAAACTTCCGTTTATATTATATGACTTAGTTATTAAAGAATGAAGTGAACTTTTCTTGGTGTATTTTAACCATGGTCATAATGTCTTATTTGCTTGAATTGAATCATGCCTTATTAGTGCAGCATTTTCACTGAAGACATGTTGACATTAACAATGTGCATTATATTCTTTTCTGTCTCCCTGCAGGCAGCTGCACACACCCAGTAATATCCTCCTCCTCTCTCTGGCCGTCTCAGACTTTTTTGTGGGTCTCCTGTTGTTGCCTTTAGAAATTTTTAGAAAGACAAGCTGCTGGGTACTTGGTGATCGTATGTGTTCTGCTTATTGGTATTTGACCAGCAACATTATCTGTGCTTCAATAGGGAACATTGTTCTAATATCAGTTGACCGCTATGTGGCTATTTGTGACCCTCTGCATTATCCCAGCAGAATTACTTTGGCGAAAGTCAAACTCAGTGTTTGTCTGTGTTGGTTTTATGCTTTTTTCTACAGCAATCTTTATACAAAGGATATCATGATTGAACCAAGCAGGTATAATTCTTGCTTTGGAGAGTGTGTATTTTTTAGCAGCAATATTGCTATTGTTGTTGACCTTATTTTATTCTTTTTTGTTCCAGTAACTGTTATCATAGTCTTGTATATGAGAGTATTTGTGGTGGCTGTGTCTCAAGCTCGTGCCATGCGCTCTCATGTTACAGCTCTCACACTTCAGCGTTCACTGAATCAAACAAACAAATCTGAGCTGAAAGCAGCCAGGACTCTGGGGATTCTTGTAGTTGTGTTTCTAGCATGCTTCTCTCCACTCTACTGCTACTCTCTTGTTGATGAAAATGCAATCATTGATCCAGCTGCATCTTTTGTGGTCATTATCTTTTACATTAACTCTTGTCTAAACCCTTTGATCTATGCCTTGTTTTACCCCTGGTTTAGAAACGCTGTTAAACTTATCATCACGTTGGAGATCTTCAAGTATGACACAAGTGGTGCCAACATACTGTAAAAAGAGTATGAAACCTGCTCGTGCAATGGTTAGCACTGACACACCACAGCAAGAAAGCCCTGGATTTGAATCCAGCTGGTGCATAGTTTTAATGTTCCCTTGTCTATGGGGGGTTACACAGCTTCTGCTCAGAATCAAAAGACTTGCATGGTGATGCTAAATTGACTAGGTGTGAATGGCTGTCTTTCTCTACATTTTGACCTTTGACATACTGACCACCTGCCCAGGGTTTATAGTATGATAGCAGTGATAGAAAAAATATCACTATTGCTGTCACAGTTGTGACTGTGGTGTATATTCTAAATGAAAATTATGAGAAAAATATATGTAAGTATTTTTAATTTTTCTTATGTTTTTTATTTGTTAATTATTACCCAGTAAATCTCACTCCATTTCTTTTTCTGTGTATTCACCTTTTGGCTCCAATAATGTTCACTTCAGTGGTTCATGTTTTCTTGTTTTCTCTGGTTATTATACACTGTTGTTATATTTGTATTTTTTAAATACTGTGTTGTCAAACATAGTGTACAATAAAATTAAGATTAGATAAGAACTTTATTAATCCTGGGATAAATTATTGTGCCTTTTACATACACAAAAAGAAACACTGTGTTCAGAATCAGAGAGAGTAAAAAATGTAACAGCTGGAATCAATTTAAGAACAGAAAGTTAAACAGCTAATGAAAAAGATAAGTAAAGATAAGATGAGTATAACCAGTAGTGCAAGATGACAGAAAGTGTCACAGTAATGATAATAATGTTAATGCTTCTAGCAAGTGCAACAATTGTTAACTAAAACTAAATTACAAACAATAATAATAATAAAAATAATGACTTACTTTCTGTTACAGCTCAGTAATAAAGCGGGAACATTAGGATAACAGGGCAAAAATAAGACCTTAATAATGTGGTAATAAAGTTATTACCACTCAGTTTTCAAAGTAATAACCACTTAATATCCAAGTAATATCATGGTAGCACAATTGATTACAGTTGAGTCATATTACACTGAAATGTATCTAATTGGAAAAATACAGTTCAGTAAAAAAGGGGTAATACTAGGGTAACAAGGCAGAAAGAAAGAATATAACAATATAGTTATTTCAAAGCTATTGCCACTTTGTAGATACCACTTTTCACACCTTGGCTCGTGTGATAAGACAGAGGAATAATAGGAGGCCCAGGACCCTATTACGACACTCTCAATAGAATTTAATAATCTGGGACTCTCCACTAATTGCTGTTAGAACCTCTCAGATGACAGGCGAAATGTCTTCAAGAAACATAAGAAGTCCAGAAGCTTTTCTTTCCAAGCTCCTTCTCGTTTAATGTTTTCTTCGTTATTTCTACTACTTTCTACATTGTAGATACATAATAAAGACATCAAATATATGGAATCATGTTGCAAACAAAAAGCTTAATAATAACTGTAAACATGTCTTATATTTTAGATTCCTGAAAGTAGCCACCATTTGCTTTGTTGACAACACTGCAAACCCTTGGCCCTCTCTCAATGAGCTTCATGATTTAGTCACCTGAAATGGTTTTCACTTCACAGGTGTGCCTTGTCAGGGTTCATTTGTGAAATTACTTGCCTTCTTAATGGGGTTGGGACCATCAGTTTAATTTTAAAACTATGTAATTTTAAAACCGTGTATATACTGTATATTCTGTGTATAGTTATTATCTCACTCTCACTATTGCCTGTTTATGCCCTGTCCTTATCTTCAACATCATGCTGCTCTGTTGTATCTTGATTGCCCCTTGGGGATAAAAAAAAGTCTTTCTGATTCTGATCTGATTTTCTGAGTCGTGTTGTTCAGAAGTCAGGTTGGTACACATCTAGCAGCCCTATTTGACAACAGTCAAAATTCAAGGACCAATAAGCTAATTAAAGAGAAACAACAGTCCATCATTACTTTAAGAACCGAAGGTCAGTCAGTCCAGAAAATTGCTAAAACTGAAAAAAGCATTCTACAATCAAACCAGCTCCCATGAGCACCACCCCAGGAAAGGAGGACCAAGAATCACCTCTGCTCTTTAGGATAATTTCATCCAAGTCACCAGCCTCAGAAATGGCAAGTTAACAGCACCTCAGATTAGAGCCCAGATAAATACCATAAATGCCAGATAAATAAATGCAGAGAGTTCCCTCTCTACATCAACTGTTCAGAGGAGACTGCGCAAATCAGTCCTTTATGGTCAAATATCTGCTAACACCTCACTACTAAGGAAAAGCAACAAGCAGAAGAGTTTTGTGGGGGTGGGGGCTCATGAACCACAAAGAATGGACATCAGACCAGTGGAAATCTGTGCTTTGGACTGATAAGTCCAAATTTGGGATCCTGTTTCCACCCTCCGTGTCTTTTTGCACTGCAGAAAAGGTGAACGTGAACATGATTGGTTGAAACAGTTTAATGTAGCCTTAGGTCTGATCACGTTTCATCTTCTTCAACTTTCTGGACATCTCCTTATATGGAGATGGCCCTTCTATAGGCAGCACTCCTGTTGCCATGATAACCACCTCTTTCCTCCCCCAGGTCTGTAGAGTTAAAAAGGGGGGTATAGTGCATACTATAAGATTTATGATCGAGGCCACATTCCTGTGAGGAAGTTGTGAGGAAGTGTTGTTTCTGTTAGTATCCGTGTGAGTCCAAAACTATTCTACAATGCACTGTGTGCAGTAAAAGACAAAACACAAATATATGATGCTAATTATGAGATATTAGTCTTAAAGTTAAAAATAAATCCTAATACACTGTTGGGGATTAATTCAAAACTGAAGGCACACTGAACCAGTGTGGGTACCACAGCATCTTTTGGTGACCTCAAACACACCTCCAGGCTGTGTATGGCGTAGGGGTATTTTACCAAGAAGGAGAGTGATAGAGTGCTGCGGCAGTCACCTGACACACTGCCACATAGAATACTGCACTTCCCACCAGAGATGGGCAGTAACGCGTTACTTGTAACTTGTGTGGAGGTAGATGAGGACCCAAACGCAAAACTCACAGAGACAGGAACTGAACTCAAAATCACTGCTTTATTGCAGGCCTTACAAAGAAGCAGAACTAAACTGGGAATACTAACAGAAGACCGAGGGAACACAGAAAGACACACAGGTTCGGGGAGGAGACATTGACGACGCGACCCTGAACTGAGGGAGACATGCACATAAATACACAGAGGGTTAACGAGGGAAGTGGGAGCACACGGGGAACACAGCTGATACAGATAATCGTAACGAGACAGGGCAGGAGTGAACACAACATGACACATACTGACGAGAGACTGTCAAAGCAAAACAGGAAGTACACAAAGGTTCAGACAGGAGGAGAGAGAGCACAGACATAACGGGCTGGGGAAAACATGAATGAAACACAAGGAGGGGAAACGAGGGCTCACAGATACACAGAGGGGCACAGAACCCAGGAACCACGGCATAAGTAACAAAATACAAAAATACAAGAAAACTAAGAATGCTGGGCCAACATGGCCCAGGACCATGACACAAAGTGAGGCTGTTGTGAAAGAAAGTTTTATTGTAGCAGAGGAGCCAAATCAGCCCGGTACCACTCTGAAGA